ATGTTTGGCTTCTGAAGACTGTAACAGCGTATGATCTGCCAGGCTGTTCGTCACATTCATTTATGTCCTGAGATACTATTTTACTGACCACAGCAGTCATACACAAATACTCTAAACAAAATTAGGCTTATTTTGGCCAGTTAGGGTATAGCAAGAAGTTGTCCTATTCTCAAAGTCATAAAACACAGTAAGACAAAAGAATTACTGTTCTCATCTTACAGGTGAGGTGGCATCACTTGACCAAAGGCACAGGAAGTCACAAAAGCTCCAGCAACTGAATGCAGGTCTTAAATCCTTGCCTGGCCTATGAGACCACCCTTCTCTGTAAGCCTCGAGGAGCGTAGTGTCCTAAGCATGATAGGATTGTGCATTAGCCTGCAGCTGCTGCAGCAAAATGATTGCTCAGAAGGGTTACAATTCAGATGCCTGGGTTTACCAGGAGCTGAGTGCAGCCATCCAGGCAGCAGAGACCCAGAGATTAGGTTGCCATTGAAACACCAAGCTAGAGACTTTATCCCTTCCTTCAGACAGATAAATGGCATGTGATTTTTATAAGTACACTAGGAGCTTCAGCCAGACTGCTGGAAAGTTGCCCGTTCACTTCGTAGCGTGACAAAGCAAAGGCAATATCCTATGGCACGCAGAAGCTGAAGCCTTCACTACACAAATGGAGAGAGTTCAAGAATAGATCTGCTGAGGGAAAGTCTCCAGCCAAGACTGCTCCAAAGCAACTCAGCACCCAAGCTAAATAAAGAGTCTAGGGTGGAGGGCAAGAACAGAGCAGCTCATCCCATCCCAGCCAAGATGACGACACTCCTGCAAAAGAAGTACAGCTGCCAGCTTCCCAAAAGCAAGTGAACAGACAGCAAGGACATCACACAACTGAAGCTGCTAGGCTGGGGATCTCACAGATACTCCTCTGTCAAAGGCTTGACCCTGAGCTGCAGTTTGTGCAATAAGGGAAAGAAACATAACACGAATGAATGGGAGACAGGAAACGGATTAAATCCTTGTCTGGCCACACTGATGTCTGCTTGTGAGCGGAGTCTCTCTAACAGAGAGCCCCTCTCAGCTGTCACCACAAGGTTGAGAGATGCCTTTTTTTTGGCTGGTGTCCCTTTTGCTAGTGAGCAGCCCGATAACGGGTGCTGGCAGAATGAAAGCTCTCCGAGATACAGTTGACTCCCTGTAAACAAGGAGATGAAAACAGTTTGATTCAAGTCGCAGCTGGGAGAAATACTATAAAGCCAAAATAATGCCAATGGCTTACTGACATTTTGTATTGCTTACAGTCAAGCGTAACACCATATGAATCTGGCTGTGCCCCCCCCCCGCTTCAAGCCCAGGCACCAGAAGTCTCACTAGAGAAGAATAAGACCTGGAGTAAGCCTGACATCACCAGAAGCTAGACTTCCAGAAAACCTGAAAAGGCAGAGGTGCTGGTACAGAGAAGGTAAGGAGGAAACAGAAACAACGGTTTGATGGGAATGAAGCATTGGCCCTGTGAAGCATTCTTGCTGGACCCGTCATGTAGAGCAGATACAGTCAAGCAGGCAATCATTAAGGACTGCAGACAAAATAGAGAAGCTCCTTCACACTACAGGAACACGCTCAAGGGCTGGTGACCTAGAGAAGGCGTTCAGTGACACAAGAGATTCTTTGCTTCCCCTTCCATGAAGCTAACATAAGCCCTCTCCTGTGTTTTGTGAAGTGTTGGGACAGGACACTATCAGATTCGATACTAGTCACACTGCTTTTCCCTGTTGAAGGCATCTGCTGAAGATATCTTTACTTAGGATGTCCCCCTGAGAGATGAATACCTTGACCTCACAAGGTATTGGGGCTTGAAGCATTTCTGGACTTCAATCCTGCAGTAGCAAGATTAGATGAAACATGGGTAGAGGTGTCCTTCGCTGTTAGCGAGAGCCATGGTGGCAAAACGGCAATCCCAGGGGCTCAAGTTCTGCCATGCCACATTCATCATCCTCTTTTTGGGAGAAGTTAGTTTGAAACACAAAAAAGGTAATATTTACCCTAACCACAGAGCAGTTGCCTTTGCCCTGCACCACAGACAGCGTGCTCATCGCAAGAGGAAACAGATTCCCAAGAAAACCAGGACAGCTCCCAGGCAGACAGCAGCGTCACCCAAAGCTTTCAGACATGCTAAGATAGCTTTTGGGGTTTGGGTTAGGGTTTTTTGTTTTCAAAAAGTAGGTACAGAATCACTCTCAAACCACTAGTTAGGGGAAGGGCGGGGGAAGGAAAAAAAGAGTAGGGCACCTGAGTTGAGTTTTCTGCTCTGTTCATCTTCTGTAGGAATTTTCAGAGACCTGTTGAAGGAAGTTGTGCAGCACAGTCGCTGGTATAAGCTTACAAGTCCCTTCAAAGCCAGTTTCTTAGCAGAAAAATAAGGAAAACAAGTATAACTTGCAAGGAACTGCACTAGCAAGTGCAGTGCTGAATAGAAGAGGGACTCAACTGCCCTGTGACATTCAGGACTGTCTGTCTCATTGCTATCCTTGGGAGTTTTCATCTGAAAACAGGAGATGGGATTCACCTGAATTAGGAGAGAGAATGGCGTTTCCTAAAGAGACAATATTCATTTTGGTGAAAGAGGGGGAAAAAACACCATTAAAAAAAAAAAATTAAAACCTCGGCTTGACTCTGAGACAAAAGAAAGCCAGTTATTCACACATCCCTAGGTGCTGGCAACGTAACATTGATAGGCTGCCGTGTAGGTCCAGGAAATAAGACCTCAACCATACAACATGACTCAGGGTTACCAAATGTTACCCACAGTAGTTAGATGTCACAAGATCCATCATTTTCCATGTCTGTTTTGCATTCTGTTATCAGAAGTCAGATGCACTGCCAAAAACAAGCAACCACTTATAAAAGATGTGTGGGGTAGGGATAACTTATCCAACAACGCACTCAACTCTCAGGACCTCAGTGGCTTCAACTTCATTGCTACTTGTTCTTGGGGCTCTCCCTTTTGTACAGTGGCAGTACAGGAAATGATCAGGAACCAGCACATGCCGCTCCTGCTTTACCTTTGTTGATAACTGGGCAGGCTCCAGGATTTGGCAGCAGCTTTCTGGAGGTCCTTGGGAAAGAGAGGTCCAGGGTCTTTCTCTACATCATGCAAGAAAGTCATATGATGCATGATTAGAGGATAGACAGCATAGTCATTTCTTTGGAAGGGTGCCATTCACTTCGCTTGCATTTCCTCCCACTTGCAAAGCGAACAGAGCATTAGTGTCCTCCCATTCTCTTCTGGTAGGTTTCTTCATGGTGATTGTCTTCCAGAAATGCAGCTCCTGTCTGCTGAGCTTTCACCACCTGAGATCTTAAATATCAATAACCCCAGCTTCTTTCCATGATATTTTCACATAGAAAAAAAAATTGAGATGTTTGCTGCCATTCTGCATTGTCTCCAAACAATTGGACTTGTCAGACAAATGACCCAAACTACATTTGAAACTGAAAATGTTCCATGAATAAGAATGTCACAACAGCGCACACTACTCCTAAAGTCTCTGGGTTAACAATGTAAGAATCAATGTATATGAGTAACTGCAGGAGCCCACAAAAAGGATTTTTACCGGTAACATGATCAATTGTTTGGTTCTTATGAAACTACAGTTATGTTAACAAAGAAAAATAAGCAAGATTTTGGCAAGTTTAGGAGACAAGGTGAAAGCTCACAAGTTTCTAATGACAATTGTGTGCGTAAGAAGTCTGGGAAATTAAAAAGTTTCAACAGAAGTTTGGCCATGACAGTGTAAAATATTAAGTGTTTCAACCACAGTCTTGCATAAAACAAGACCAAAGAGACACCAAAGCAGATATATTACAAGTGAAAAAACTTAGACTGACCAGTGGCCAAGTAGAAACTGGAGAACCAACTGTGGTAACTGCCACATGGAAAATGCGAATTCCAGATGAAGAGTTGCAAGAACAGATTGGGAAGGTGGATCTCTGGGTTTTTAAGTGGGTATTTCAACCGTATCCTGGCTAGGTTATCAACTACAAGAGGACCTCAATTAGTGCCTGTGAGTGAATTGGTAACAATAGCAATAAAATGACTAAGCTTTGTGAGCTAAATTATGGGCTTGTCTACATGGGAAATTGTTATAGAAGCTAGGTGTAAATTTAGAGCACAATGGCTTTTTTGCACCAATTCCCAGATGGGTGGGTAACACTATTTTGCTCTGAGAATGTCTTTCAGAGAAGGCAAAGCTTAACAATACAGACACTTTGCATACTGAAAGATGGTAGCTGGGGATAGCTATTTCACACTTCTTTTTTTCTTCTTAAATGTAGGTGGGTCCCAACACCATAAATAATTGAAAGGGAAAGCAGGCTAACAGCAGACTCAGGGCAAGTTTTTGGCAAGTCACTGTCTCTAAGCTTTGTTTCTCATGTGGGGAGAGGGGGCATTGTGCTTTCATGCATGTCTCTAAAGGATATTGAGATGCAGGAGTAAGAGGTGCTGTAAGGAAATTCCACTCTGGAAGGTACAGGGCACATTACCTTTGTCCATCACCAGCTGCAAGGAATTTGATCAAAGCTTTCCAGTGTATGTGATCAATATTACTCTTAAAGACCCAAGTATGAGGACTCCATACCAACAAGCCACATAGTGCCATTGGTCCAGCATCCCTGCTAACCCTGTTCAGTCACACTGCGCTCAGTTGGACTTTACATTTATTTAGCTTCATGCCTGACTAGCAGCAGCCTCCTGTGCTGAGAAGTACAAACTGGCATGACAACCTAAGCTAAACTGTTTCACATAGCTTGTCCCTAATACAAAAACTTACCTTCATGTTTAAGTACTCTGCAGCTAACACCAGTGGCGTTCTTTAGTTACACCACCATGAAGCAGGATATCAGCATCTGACCCATTGATCTCAACCCTCTATGCAGTACTTAAAAGCTAATCAATTTAATGAGAAGCGCAGGAAAATTTGGGCAACATGAGACATGAAGATTTTTACCTCACTAAGTTGGCACAAGGTCCTGGCCACCGGCAGCTCTGATAAACTCGCTGGATCACCGTTTCTGACCCATTCTGCACTTGGCAGGAAACAGTCCGTGTAACCGTATAGTGACACCAATGCCTGCAGAGAGAAAGGACACTGTTAGCCCCAGTAAGACAGCAAGCTGAAGCAACATATATCAGACTGCAGTAAAAAACAACCAAGTATCTGGGGGTGGGGTTGCTTCTTCTGCCAGCCATAGCTAGCCTAACTTGCAGTCTTCATTTCTCACCCCACCCTCTCCTCCCAATAGCTGCAGAAAGATTCCCTGCTTCTGCCAACCTGAACCACAAGAGATCCAGTAACGCCTCTTGCTTGGTCCTCAGGCCAGAGTTTTATAGTACATAATTTAGTTCTGTTAGTTATCATAAACAATAGGAAAAAAAAAAGGAAAGAAAAAAAAAGCGTTCCAAATCTCCTGATAGTCAGTTCCCATTGTACTGGTCTTAATTTCATCCTGCTCATTATGGTATCGTTCCCCAGCCTCCTAACATTCTGAACAACATCTGAGTTGGAAAATTCCGCTTTTTGGTGTGGTGGAGCTCATTGTCAGCAGGGCTCGAACAAGCTTGGTGCCGAACAAATCATATTGCTGTCCTGGTGAGGTTACAGTCTAAAAATGGGCAAGAGAAAATGCAGGGGAGGGAGGAACTAGTGCCTTATGCTGTCTCATAAGAAAACAAGAGTGAGAGAGACCTCCTGACCGTAAGGCATATGAGAAGGCAGGAACTGCAGTGTCAGCCCTGGGAATCGGGACCCATAGAACCTTTCCACCTTCTCTGAAAAATATGGTTTTAGGTTCCAAGTGTCATGCTCGGGGCACAGGGGGGAAAGGATATTTTCATTTCCCCCTTGCAAGCATCATTCATATTTGCCAAATACTGGTTCACGTTTTTGCTTTTGTACCTCAGCGTAGTCAACAGGTTTGAGACCCACCTTTCCTACTGATTTGGGATCAGAACTGGGGTCACTAATGGGAAGCGGAGACACCAGCTTGTGCTCCAAAACACACAAAGTGCTTGTGTAAGCATTTCCTGCACATGCAGAAGAGTCCTGCTCCTCATCCATTTTAAAGTAAGAGCCCCCAGTTGATCCCTTCTCCAAGTACCGCAGCAGCTCCCCAACCTTGCAAACCAAAAATCAAACTGCACAGTGGAAACAGGCACCTGCACATCCCCTCCCCTCCTTCCCTAACCCACCTTCCCCATGGCAGTTCAATTTTTCTAGTATTTGCCATTTACAGCATTTGTTGCATTCTGTTTCCTTTTTGGATTCCCCTCCTATCTCCACAGGAGGCTCCCTGCTCTCTGGATAACTCTCATTTCCATAAATAGGAGGTATGCATGCCAGCAGCTGAGCTGAACACTGCAGACCACAATGGACAAGCTGGGGCCAGCAGGCTGCCCACCAAACCTTCAGCTACAGCCAGACAGGTGAGCTGGGGCACCCAGAGAGAGGGTGGCTTTCTACCCAGTGCCATCGAGCCCGTCAGCTGTGTCAAGGCAGAGCCATGCTGCTTTCCCTGCAAACACTGTTCCTGCTCACTGTAAACCCGCTTGCAATTCCTCATCAGGAAACATGGACTACAGTCACATCTCAGGTGACCCCAGGCTGGCAGGGAGGTCTTGAGAACCACTTCTCTCAGATTTATTGAGGATCTGTGGTGTATATATAGGGATCAGATACCCTAGTACCCAAATGCCTCAACTGACATCTACATCATAGAACCAAAGGGCAAAACGGGGGAAGAAGATAAGATTAATGAAGCTTCAGATCACATGATGACAACAGATTCTTTAACAGGCTCCACACAACTTCTGCGCAAAGTTTAGGGAGCAAAACCAGAAGAAACAAAAGACAGGAGCTAGAGACTGGAAATGTGATAATTCAAAGTAAAGTTTTCTTTTTACTTTCACATGCACACATGGTGCAATCAGCCATTTCGTCTCTCCAAGCCTTAGTCATGGAGTTTGTTCAGATAGGTACTGCTGGAAAAGATCTCCTCATGCCATGGGAACAGCCAGTTGAGCATGGAAGGAAAAGCAGCCAGGAGAAAGGGCGAGTACGAGAGGGGCTGTATACACAGCCTGTATGATTTACCTTGAGCATGTTTTTAGCACAGTGCCTACAGCCATTGGAAGGACAGCACTGCTGCACAAACCTCAGGGCAACAGCATTTCACGTCAGGCAAAACAAACTGCATATATACAGAACCTGACAGGAAAATGGCAGAAGCATATATCCTAAAGTTATGAAAAACAAAACTTCTCATTAACACGCAGTGAGGAAAGGAATTGGTCCCACCACAGGAGAGGAATGAAGCAGTAGTATGCACACTAGCAACATGTAACAGAGCACGAAGGGACATAAATACTAACAAATTCAGAATAAAGTTACTGAACATTTTAAAACGGAGCATAATTATCAAGGACTCAAGCGCCTCCCCTCATGTTAAGACCATTTTTCTGGCTTGTCAATGAAATCCAAATATATCAAATATTTATTTACACATGCTATGCTTTAACTGTTACATAGCTTGTATGCACGTCCCTCTGGCCTTCTCCCATCGCAGAGTCATCTGGGAAGAAGTACTGTTTCCATGGTGTGAGCTGGATTATCCTACACTGATTATTTCACTCTAATACTGATTTTGGTGGGCTTCTGAGACAACCTGTCCCACCTTCTTGAGCGCACACAAAGCACTTCTGTGTCAGATAAAGAAATTCAACCACGCTCTGAGCAAAACTCTCGATATCTGATGCTGAAACTACAGAGCTTCATATTCCTGAAGGCAAATGAGGTGGGAAGGTGAACAAAGACGAACACCACTGCACACCCCAGCACAATGCGGAAGAGAAAGGCAGGCGTTAGAGGCAGACTCCACAATTGCCAGAAGGAATCTGGCGGCCTATCTGCTCTGGTTAATATATAATGGCAGCTCCAAATTGCAACTCCTAAGGAGAAATTGGAAACTAACCATTAGTCTCTTTAGCTTTCCCTTGCATAGACCTAGATTTAACGTCATCTTGCTCCTTCAAGGATTATTTTCAACCCGCTTGGGAGTCTAGCACTACATTTGTGGATATGGAGCTAAACAGGTGGCACTGTGCAGGATGCCTATGTCAAAAACTGCAAGAAACGTTGATTATTTTAAGCTACCTACAAAGCTGGTTTTGTCAGGGCTTTCATTTAGTGGGTGCTGCCGGCATACGCACAGATTTTCTTTCCAAACAATCCAAAACTGCTGTTGCCTGAGTAGGTCTCTCACACCTTTGCTCTACCTGGTCCTTGGAATAAGCTGTTCACGTACACGTATCCTCTCGCAAGTCCAAGGAATTTGGCAGTCAAGTTGTCACTTCTGCCTTGGAAAAGCCTTTCTTGGAAGCGAGACGTGCTGTACAGACCTCGTTACAATCTAGTGACAGAGCCTTAGGCAGTGGTTGCAGATAAAGGCTGCTCCCACACTACAGTGCACAGGACAGAAGCCTGCACATTGGTGGGGGGAGAAACCCAACACTTTCCCAGGTTCATTTCTTTAGATGACCTGCTCAGGGACCTGTTATAAAAGGAAGCAATCATTACAGGAAGCAAAAAGCTTCCCCAAGACTCTCCATTCATTGCTTTCCTTGCCTGAAGCCACCACCTGGGTTTGCCAGGCTGAACAGGACTAATAGCCCATGGCAAAGTAACAGATCCTTTTGCTGAAATCTAGGGACAACCTTCCACCTTCCTCAGCAGGAGCACCCAGAGTGCAGTGACAACGATAAAGTACCACAACACTTGTCACCTCAGCACTCTGAGTCTTCTCTAAAGCAGAACTACCACAGCGTGGAACATTGGAACATGAGGGGGGAAAAAAATTAAAAAAAAAAAAAAAAAGGCCAGATGAAATTAGCAGTGCACAGAATATATTAAGTGTGGGACATTGGAACATGGGGGGGGAAAAAAAAAAAAAAAAAAAAAAAAAAGGTCAGACCCCAAAGATACTCAGATAATCCAACATCAACACAGATTTCTCTAACTTCTCTCTTCACCAACAGAAGAGTTTGGTTACAAAGGTACCCACCCAGGAGTGAAAGGTACATTCCCATTTGCAAAACATCACACTCTTGGGTTCCCATAAACAGCATAATTTTCCTGCAAATGCAACTTTTAGGTGTTTGGTTTTTTACTGTGGCATAGAAGCAGGCGAGACAGAAAGACAGGAACATAGCTGATCATAAGATGCATTAGGATATATAGCTTGGGACTCAGCGTAAATGTAATAGCACAGTGACTACGACAGAGACAGACAAAACCACCCCAAGATTTCTCTTTGCAAGCCAAAAGTCAGCAAGAACAGTCTCCAGAATGCAAGCAGACTTCAGACAAAGTGATGAAAGGCCCCATCATGGCTTACAGAGATTATAAGTGACCCTTTATATTATATACAGATGCTAGCAAGAAAGGTTTAGGACTTCTACTGGCACGCATCCAGGATGGCAGAGAATATATTGCTGCTTATTCAAAAAGAATATTCCAACCAAGCAAACAAAATGACCCAAATAGCAGCTCCTTTAGGGCTGGCTCTGTCGGATCTCATGCATGCTCATCACCAGCCTATTTAGCATGATGCCCCACAGTGTCTTGTGGAATTAGTCTTCCACTGCTTTGCTTAGAAAGGCAAGTCTCACTTGGTTCATTTTCCCCAGCCATTTCCAAAGAGATGCTCTCCTCTCCCACCCTATTTAATTCTTGGAAGACTTTCACGGACAACTGAGGTTCTGCAGACCATGGCCTGCAAGCTACTGATTTAGACAGTTTCAGTCCAGGGCTACAGACCAAGATCTCGCATCTTGATCACAGCTGACAACATCATTCCAGAGGGAATATGAGTGTTGATGCCAGCAGATATTCAATCGTATTTACTGTGTAGGTTCAGGATGTTACTGTGGACGTTTCAGGCTAATTAGAGCAACAAACTCAATAGTTTGCTTCTGTTTGGAGATACTCTGAAAACTACTGTTCTGAGCTTAAATGGACCCTTCTCTCAGCAGATGCTGGGAGGGAGTTGCCTGCTCTCTGCTGACTCAGCGAGAGCA